TTATGGACGACAAACAGAAAATTTAATTAAAATTATTGAAAGAATATTAAAAAGTGGTAACCGGAAAATATTGAAATTGGAAATTCCTGGCACAAATTATCGATATTGTATTGTTAGTATGGATTTTGTTTGGTTTAACGATTGGAACGATCATTTATTTTGGATATATCGGAAAACATAAGATTGGTAAATCAGGTGGTAAAGTCGTGGTAAAAAATTAATTGCATAACTTGGAACATTAATAAATGAACATAACGTGCCAAACAAAACGAAACGAAACCAGCAACGAAAAACCCATGGCGGAAATCAATTTTAGCGGGGGGATGTCGTGGAAAAATTATTATTCATGGGAATCGGAAAATTAAAACAAACCATCAACAAACTTATTGGACGGAAATGGAAAATTAAACAAATCTTGTTGATGAAATTCGGATTGTGGACAGGATGGAATTGAAATCGAATAAATAATGAAGATTGAAAACAGGATGCCGCAGAATATGGATTAAAATAATATCAAAACATTTGTCGTGAAGAAATTAAAAATTGACGGGAATTGGAAATCAAAACAAATCATCAGCAAACCTATTGGAAGGAAATCGAATATCGAAAATAAACAAATCTTGTTGATGAACTATTGGACTACGGACAAATATGGAGTTGGAATTGATAACGAAATAATTTAGAAGATCAAAAACAGGATGCTGAATAATATCTAAAAGAAAATATTGATGNGATCCATATAACAATGAAAATCTTTTATGAAAACCTGTTTGATTAATTCGGGATCCATTATGGTCAATATTGGTGTTAATAATTGATAACCACCAAAAAATTTTCCATAACGTCGTACATGACGCATCGTTATTGATGGCCAATCATCAAATCCTAATTCAAAATCTGTACCAAAAAGAAATATTGATCTCATACTTGGTACACCATGTTCATTCCAATAGCTTTGTTTACTATTTACATAGCTTTAATTGATAAATTAAAAAAAAAAATTAAAATAAAAATTTTCAAATTTTAATAAAAATAACATTTACTTTATAATCCATGCTATTAAACCACCGAATATGATTAACTGGATTGTCCAGAATACATAACCATAAAGAATTTCGAGCATTTTGTTTTGTTTTTTTCTTTTGAACACAAATCAAGAAAAGGATCAAGGACAACAGCAATAACAATAATTGATTTTAAATTGTCAAGTACATCATGTTTTTATATTTTTATTTCTAACAATCATTTTAGTGTTTGCATAGAAAACAAAAACTGTTTCCTTCATACTTTTTTCAATATCAACAGACAACATCGGTTTATCATAATGTTTTATCAGTTGTTTATGGTAATGTGGATGATATTATCTTATTACATCAAGTAAACAGTAACTGAATGGGGGTCGTCTTTTTATTGATGAAATTTATTGCCGACAATCAATCATAATTGTTGATATATAATGAGATATGGGAAAAAAACACTTTCATTCAAAATCAAAGTTTAATATTCATTTTTTGATTCATTTTGAATCTTTGAAAACAAAAAATATTGATTGATTTTTTTTTCCTGATATCAGTTGAATTCATTTTATTTGTTATCCATTTATGATACGATACAACAAACAAAAATGTTCAAAAAGATTTTGTTCAGATTGAAAGACAAAAGTTAAAGTTTAACAAATATTCAATGTGTGACAATCAATCAATAGTTATTTGTTCAAATTTGGATAACGTATATAATGTAATCCAATAGATTAAATTAAAAATGATTAAACTTGAAATCTAAATCTTAAATTGATTGATTATAAATTATTAGTTACACTAAAAAAAGGAATGTTTATAATTTTTAATCATCGTTTTGTAATTTTTAATTTAAATGGTGATGTCATTAATAACGGTGAACGTGGCCCGAATGATAACACTTTTTGTGTTACACCTGGAATCGTTTCGAAACGATATGTCATTATAATTCTTGATAATGCTAATCGAAGTTCTTGATATGCAAAACGCATGCCGATACAATTTCTAGGTCCAAGACCAAATGGCATATATGTATATGGTACAAGTTTATCCTTATTTTCAGGCATAAAACGTTCAGGATCAAATCTTTCTGGATCTGGATAATAATCTTCACAATGATGAATAACATGTGCAGGAATATGGATAATTGTTCCACGTTTTAATGGTATATCATTTAATTTAGTTTCATCTGCTGTAACCATTCGTGTTAAAAGAGTAACCGGTGGATAATAACGTAAAGTTTCTTTTACAACAGCTTGAAAATATGGTAGATAAAGCATAACTTTATCATAATATTCCTTTGAATTGTAATCTAAATCAGTTAAATTTTCTTTTAATTCTTCATAGACACGTTGTTGTATTTCTGGATGCCATGCTAATTGAAAAAGACAATGTGAAATAGTCGAAGATGTTGTTTCAAAACCAGCGATCAAAAAGAAAATTGAATTAGCAATGATTTCACTTTCAGTCAATTTTTTCTTATCGATTGATTGATTTTTCTTTTCAATTTCAGGCGCTTGTTCATCACTTTGATCATCTGTTGCTTCAAGATTATCAAAATTATTATCATCGATAACTTTTTCATCCACTTCAGCTTCCAACATTAATTGTAATAAATCAACTGGCTTTTGTTTCATTGTTTTACGTTGTCGGATTATTTCCCTAGTAAGATTGCAAAAATATTCGAATGATTCCGGTGAAAATAGAAAACGAATATTTAATAAATTTAACAAAAATCTCGGAAGCGTAAGCACTGCCAACATACGGATAAATGTCGAACGAAATAAACCTATACCGCTTTTAAAAAATAAATCATCTTCACCAAGATTTTCATTCATTTGTGTACTGAAACCAGCCGATGCAATTACATCCATAGTAAATCCTGCAACAATTTTTTTCGTTTCCAATTGACCATTAGATTGATCAATAATTTTATCCAAATTATTGAATAATCTATCGACACAATTGTTCATTGTTTTAGTCATTGCACGAAGTTTACCCGTAGTAAATGATGGACTAGCAATACTGCGCATACGTTTCCATTTTTTAGACTCTGAAAATAATAGATTTTGATTCAATAATTCATGATAGGTACGTGGTTGTACGCGATCCATATAACAATGAAAATCTTTTATGAAAACCTGTTTGATTAATTCGGGATCCATTATGGTCANATACAATTGTTCATTGTTTTAGTCATTGCACGAAGTTTACCGGTAGTAAATGATGGACTAGCAATACTACGCATTCGTTTCCATTTTTTAGCCTCTGAAAATAGTAGATTTTGATTCAACAATTCATGATAGGTACGTGGTTGTATACGATCCATATAACAATGAAAATCTTTTATGAAAACCTGTTTGATTAATTCGGGATCCATTATGGTCAATATTGGTGTTAATAATTGATAACCACCAAAAAATTTTCCATAACGTCGTACATGACGCATCGTTATTGATGGCCAATCATCAAATCCTAATTCAAAATCTGTACCAAAAAGAAATATTGATCTCATACTTGGTACACCATGTTCATTCCAATAGCTTTGTTNTTTTTAGCCTCTGAAAATAGTAGATTTTGATTCAACAATTCATGATAGGTACGTGGTTGTATACGATCCATATAACAATGAAAATCTTTTATGAAAACCTGTTTGATTAATTCGGGATCCATTATGGTCAATACTGGTGTTAATAATTGATAACCACCGAAAAATTTTCCATAACGTCGAACACGACGCATCGTTGCTGATGGCCAATCATAGAATCCTAATTCTAAATCTGTACCAAAGAGAAATATTCGTCTCATACTAGGTACACCATGTTCACTCCAATAACTTTGTTCATTATTCACATAGCTTTGAAAGAAAAATTTTTTAAAAATTAAAATTAAAATTTCAAACAAAAAATAAAAATAAAATTTACTTGATAATCCATGCTATTATACCACCAAATATGATTAATTGGATTGTCCAAAATACATAACCATAAAGAATTTCAAGCATTTTGTTTTCTGTTTTTTGTCTTCTAAACACAAATCAAGAAAATGATCAAGGGCAATCACAATAACAACGCCAACAACCTACCAACGATAATTGTTTTTAAATTGTCTAGTTTTTATATTTTATATTTTTGTTTCTTCAAATCATTTTAGTATCAACAGACAACACATTGGTTTATCACATTAGCTTATTATCAGTTGTTTATGATGATTAGAATGGATATTATCTTGCCACATTCAATAATCAGTTATTTGAATGGTTGGTTGGTTGTTTTTTTTCCATAATAAAAAAAATTTATAACCGACAATCAATCATAATTGATATATAATGAGAAAAACATTTTCACTCAATTCAATCTGTTTGATACTCAATTTTTGTACTTAAAGTTTTGATTATTCATATTTTGTTTATTTTGAAATAAACTTTATTCGGAATTTTATTCACTTTGTTTTGGGATTTTGTTTTTCCGTTAAAAAGATGACCCTAGTTATTGTAACGAACTGACCTAGAAATATGTTTGCTTTTTTTCTTATTTTGATTCATTCTGAATCTTTAAAAACAAAAAAATGAAGAAAAGAAATATTGATTGATTTTATCGTCATATCAGTTCAGTTTGCATTATTCGTTATGATACGACGCAACAAAATATAAAAAATAAATGTTCAATAAGATTTAGTGAAAAACAAAATAAAGTTTAACTATAAATATTCAATATGTATGACAATCAATCAATAGATATTTGTTCAAATTTTGATAAAGTATACAATGTAATCCAATAGATTAAATTGAAAATGATGAAACAAATGGGAAATAATTTTCTTGAACGACGATCAATTTCATATGCATATTCTTCACCATTATCGATTGATATTCGTCTCCAAATCTTTCGTTTTTTCAATGTGTTTTTTATATTGTTGTTGTTGTTGTTGTTGTTATTAGCTTTATGATGCTTAAAATTAACAATCGAAACATTTGCTGATGATAAAGTTGTTGAAGATTTATGATCATCATAAGTATTATCATCACTACCATTATCATTATCATTGAGATTATTAAAATGTTTACGTTTTTTAGCTAAAAAACGTTTTTTCATATGATAAATATAATTAACAGATACATATTCAACAATACTTGCAAATACAAATATTATACAGGATAAAATCCATATATCTAATGAATGAATATAGGAAATTTCGGGTAATTTTTCTCTTGCTGAACGTGCCATTGTAACCATTGTAAGCATTATGGTAACACCTAATGTAATACGTGCAGGTGCAGCTGTAATTTCAATCCAAAATGAACCCCAACTAACAATAACAAACAAAGCGATCGGTATAAAAACATCCAATAATGATTGTGTAAATTTTCGACGAATATAGAATATTGCAATCAATCGTGAATATGTACCTGTATGTATATAGGTTGTATTTGTTTCAATTAATCGATAACGAATCAATTCAAAACCATTCCAATCAAAATTTTCATTAAAATAAATTGATGATGACCATTGTAATTGAAGATCATGAATATTTAATTCATTAGTTTCAATTTCAAATCGAATCTGTTGTATATCAAATGGATAAAGACGAAAATCAAGCTGATGATGACCATAAATAGTTAATCGTTTACTTAATAATATTAATCCATTTGTTTGTCGGATTTGTACTAATACTGGATGTTCATTCGGATCATTAAATATATTTGGTTGTTTTGTATTGACAATATAAATTGGTGGTAACCATATACGATTTAAATGCCATACACCACCTTGTATTATTATTGTTTGATTGTTCGAATCTGTTGTAAATGTTTCTGTTGAATTCGATATGCCAATACGATTATCCATCCAGGATGTTCGTAATAATAAATCTAAATGAAATTCCTTCATTAACAAAAAAGTTTTAAAAAAATGAAATCATTACATATAAAAAAATAATCATCTCTATTTTTTAGAAATAACAAAAAAAAAACATTACATTATTCAATTCATAAATCTGTGCAACACCGAATAAAATAACACTGATATTAACGGTGATTGGATAATTATCCGGTGGTAACCAACGATTATAAACAGATGGATCTGTTTTTCGTATGAATAAATGATCATTTTTAATGCATTCAATCGTACCGAATAAAATGATGATCAAAATGAATATAAATCGATACATCATTGATGATTATTTTTAAAATAAAAATGTTTGATTTAAAATTTTAAATTTCATTTTTGTTTCTATCTAAAATTTTTGCAAAAAAAGGATGTCATCATTAAAACAAATTAATTTTATTGATCATAAATCATTATCGATTGTCATTTTTACAATTAGATTAAAGATAGATAAATAGATCGAGAGAATGAAAATATTTGAGATTAAGATTAACATTATTGATTGAAAGAATGATATCTGCTAATTGGCTATTGTCTTTCGGTTTTATCCCCAATATTTTTTCCATTTTTTCTTGCCACCACCCACCCAAACACCACCATAATTGCCCCCACCATATCCATAACCATATCCATGTCCGTGTCCATATCCATGACTTTGTTTTCCATAACCACCAATATTAATTTTTTTAATAATCACTACTTTTTTGATTACGGTTCCACCTCCATGTTTTTGATAACCACCATGATTTTGTTGATAACCACCACCATGATGTTGTTGATAACCGCCACCATGTCCCCCATTATATCCTCCATAGCCACCTCCGCCGCCACCACCACCTCCGCCACCTATTGAATTAATGTTTTTAAAAGAGTTTATGTTGCATGAATTTCTAAATTCGATTCAAATTCAAATTTTTTTACCTCCACCCCCACCACCACCGCCGCCGCCTCCTCCTCCTCCCCCACCATAACCAAAGCCACCACCAAAGCCATAGCCACCACTGCCGGTATTTCCGTAACCGCTACAATCACAAAATACGATTATAGCAGCAATGATGATAATAAACATTGCCAAAAAATTTGTTGATTGCATTTTAATTAATTTTTTTTCAAATTCGGTGATCAAACAACCGAATTACAACAAACAAACAATGAAAAAATTAAGTTCAAAAATGAACTTTAAAATAAATCAGAACATATTGTGTTGTTGTTAATAGTTGATGAATAAGGAATAATTTGGGAATATCCCTTCAACTATTCAACAAAAATGTTGTGTTTTTATACTATTTCAAGTTTAGTACATTTTCCATCAACGGAACTTGTTGAAATCGATTCTAGCAAAAAAATTTTAAAAAAAGAGTGAGAAAAACAATGTCTGAAATCGACCGGAAATTGATATGCAGCATGAATGCTTTGCGGCCTTAAAAATACGTGCATAGAAACATAATTAATTGTAAAATTCATTTGAAAAACAACGAAACGTTTACGTTTTTTGTTTGAATTTTTCCCAACTGATTACATTATTTTATTGAATTTTTTGTTGTTGTTGTTGTTATTGGTTGCTTAGTAAAAATTATTGATTAAATTAATTAAAGCTAATTAAATGAAATCCAATTGATGCCGAAATGATTAACATTATAAACCAAATTGATGGTGTTAAAATACCATAAATTACTAATGGATATGTTAAATTCCAACCTCTGGACATAACCGAACGCATTGCTTCCAATGCATATGTTTGTGGTCCAAAATAACTAATTGGTTTCATATATTTAGGCATTGCTTCTACTGGCCAAAATATACCAGATATAATTGATACGGGTAAAAATGATGCCATTGCTAATGCTAATGCTTGACTTTCATTTTTTGAAAATGCCGATACAACAAGACCCAATGCCATACCACACATTCCTTGTATTAATGTTATTAAATAGATAATCAATACTGATCCTTGATTATCAATATCAATAATATATAACATTGTTATTATTGATAATAAAACTTGTACGGCCAATACTAATAGCTGTGTACTAATCTGTGATATGATAAATTCAAATGTTTTTACACCGGCTACTAATGTACGTTCGAATATACCATCTTTACGTTCCAATACTAATGTTATTGCTGTCAATGCCATTGCAGCAAAAAATATTGCCATTGATATTAGACCTAGTTGATTTTTTTTTTTTTTGAAATGAAATAAATTATTATTGTTGAATAATAATAATAATGAAAATGAAAATAATCAAACCTGGTGCCATAAATTCACTCATTTTTGGTGATTTCATTCCATATACATAATCATAATTGAATGGATTTTGTTGTACACGATTTGTATCAGCAAATAATTCTGTTGCCATAGCCATTGTTTGATTAAATGTTATCCATAATTCTTTTTGTATTGTATTGGTTATGACATAATTTGTTGTATCTAAATGTAAATTGATTTGTGGTAATCGTAAATTTTCATTACCATCATTCATTGCATTATCATAATCATCATTGGCTATCAATTGCATTATACGTGTATAATTTGATTGAAATGATAATAATGCCCATACAAATCCATTTTGTACATGTTTGATAGCTTCATCATAATCATCAAATTCAATTAAACGAAATGTTATGTTATTTAGATTATTGATAAATAAACCGGATAGTATTGGTGGACTATCCATATTCAAAATAGCAACGGGTATATCATATGGATCTGGTCCAAGACATGTAAAATTCAATAAACATTGAAAACTAGGCATCAAAAATTGTATGATTAACATTGATAAATTTCTTCGTATTCCGGTTATATTTTTCCAATTCAATGCTCGTATACGATCGATAAATGCAAATGTTGGCTGTTTGAATGGATTTATTGTCGATTCAATTACTGGCAATGAATCATCACTAACAACAATTGTCATATCAAATACACTGGAGGAAGAAAAAAAAAACATCAACTTATTGAGATTGAATTAAATCGATTTTTTTTATTTTTTATAAACATACTTTTGTTGTTTATCGATTGAATCAGATTGACATAGATGAAGAAAAACCGATTCCAATGTTGATAATTGTAATTGTTCCATTAGAATTGTTGGATTTTTTTCAGCCATTAATTGTCCATTACGCATAAATGATACTAGATCAGCTGAACGTGCTTCTTCAATATATTGTGTAGTGATAATAATTGTTAGATTCATTTTTTCAGTTAACATTCGTAAATAATCCCAGATATTTTTTCGTAAAACTGGATCAACACCAACAGTAGGTTCATCCAATATTAATAATGGTGGTGAATGTATCAATGCAACAGCCAATGATACACGACGTTTTTGTCCACCACTTAGATTATTAATATAACGATCTTTTTCCGGTAAATTTAATAGTTCTATTAATTGTTCAGTTCGTTTGGAAATATTTTTCTTATTCATATGAAATAATTTTCCAAAATATTCAAATGTTTCGGCTATAGTAAAATCGGAAAATAATGCCACTTCTTGTGGTGTATAACCAAGACCTGGACCGGGTATACCACTTTCAGGTGTTCCTGGTTGTTGACCATAAACAGTTATTTGTCCACTATCTGGTTTTCGTATTCCAACTACACAACGTAATAATGATGTTTTTCCTTTTGAAACAAAAAAAATATTTTAAATGATCATTTTCAAATTGTTTTTCAATTAACATACCACAACCACTTGGTCCTAATAGACCATAAATTTGTTTAACTGGTACATTCATATTAATACCTTTCAATACTTGATGATTACCATAGTTAAGAAAAACATTACGAATTTTTACGGCAATTTGTTTTGATGAACAATTTGATTTCGATTCATTATGATGACCGGTTTTTGTTGCTGGATTTTCATCATAGAATCCATAATTTTCATATACAACATTATTATTATTATTATTATTGTGATCGCTTGAAATGGTCACCATATCCATGATGAAAAATTTTTTTGAAAATGAAATTTAAAAAAACTTGTAAAAATTTAAAGCTTGTACGAAATTCCACCGCATCCACTAAATCCACTTTGCCTTGGTTATTTTTTCTGTTCTTTCATTGTTTTTTTTTCAAGGATTTTTTTTTCGTTGTTTGTAAAACAATCGATCGATAAATATTTCATTTTTGTTTTCTTCTTTTTCAATTTTGCGTTTTTTTTTGCTTTCAATAAAAAATTGGAATTTTCTGTTGTCATTTCCGGATGTTTGGATTTTCTATTTTTTTTTTTTTAATCAATAAAGTTTTTGTAATGCTTTTTTTCATTATTTTGAAAATGTAAACATTTCAATCGTTAGATGGCAGCATACATAGTTTGTAATTTGTTTTTTCAATTTTTTATCGATTTAATTATTTCAACAATAATGTCTTTGTTGTTGTTGTTGTTGTTGTTGTAGTGATTATTAGAAGAATTTTCAATCAATAAAATAACAATAAATCATTATATAATGATTACAAAGAGAAAAAAACTGGATAATTCTTTCTTTCTGTCTTTTATTTTTGTTTCTTGTTTATACAATGCAATTCATTCAATTGGAATCAATCGGATTGATCCGAAAATTATTTTCTTGTTCTTTTTTTCATGGATTTAATCATTATTATGGTTCCACATTTTTTTTTCTCACTATTTTCTATATTGTAAACTTGAATCTATTTGTATTCAATTTAATGATTAAAATAGAATATACAATGACAAAAGATAGATAGAAGAAGAAAAAAAATCAGCTTCAGCTTCAGATTTTTATTTTTATTTATTTATTTATTATTCAACCATACCAAAAAATTCCAAACACGTTGATTTTCCTTGTTGTTATTATTATTATAAATTTCCATTATAAATGATGCAAATGTTTTGAAGAAAAGAGAGAAAAAAAATGCCTTATATTAAAAACGATAAAAACATCAAATAATCATATAGAAATTGATTCTACTTTTTTTTTTATTTTGTTAAGAATTTCTTGTACACACATGCAAGCACTTGAAAATTCTTTATTTTTTATTTTTTTTTGTTGGTGAAAATAATGTTTTCTGATGAAAATCGGTGTGTGTGTGTTATATACCTTTTTTTTTATTCTTCAAATTCTTTTTATTTATTTATTTATTCTTCTATTCTTCTTCGATTCTGGAATGCAACTATACATACAACAATAATAATAACAACAATCAATGATGATTATGCAAAACAGTGTGAATAGAGAAAAAGGAATGAAAAAAAAATATATAATCAACATTGAATCAGCTCTTATTTACCCTCTTATTACTTTATTTTACTTTCTTACTATTATTACACAATGAATGTAGAAATCTTTCAACAGGAAAAAATGAAGAAATTTTTTTTGAAAAATTACTTTCATTACTTTTATTCTGGTTATTTGTTGATGAAAGAAAGAGAAAAAGAAAGCAAAGAAAAGAAAAGAAAATTTTTTGGTTTTCAAAAGAATTTTATCATCATTAACCGAATATAAATTTAAACATTTAGTTTCAAATGTACAATTTTATGTAATAATTTTTTTAAATATAAATTTTTTGTTTAAAATTCAAATTGCAAAACCATTAAATTTTAAAATTTTAATGTCTCTATTTTCATTTTGTTTCTCTACTGGTTCCTGGTAAAACCTGATTATTACTTTGTTTTTGTTTTGTTTCTGGTCGTTAATTTTTTTTTCTTCCAAACAAAATATATTCTGGATTAGTTTCATTTTCTCAGTTAGAATGTTTTCATTTAGCTATTTAATTTCATTTTTTTTCTGATACAAAATCAGAAAATCTCTTCAAGATTTCAATTTCATTTTAGCTTTTTTCGTTTTTTGATTTCAGTTTTCAACATAATTGATTTTTTCTTCTTCTTCTTCTTCATTTAATATACCAAATTCGATCGATAATTTTCAATCATCATCATCATCATCAAGACGATTGTCAATTAAATTATATGCTAATGATAATTATCATCAAGTTAAGAAAGAAGAAAAGTTCTTTATATTCATTTGCGTTGCCTTTTTTCTTTGAAATGAGAAAAAGTATATCTTTAAGAATACACCAAATGCCATTTATATTCTTTATATTCATATTCTTTACTTGATCAAAATGAACATTATCATCATTATACCAAATATTAATTATCTTTTTTTTTGTTGTTTCATTGAAATCAACATAGAAATAACAAAACATTGATTCTATTCTACATTCAATTCGATCATTATTTCATTGTATATACAATTGATTCATTCATTTGGAAAGCAGCCCAAACAACAAAAAAAAAGGCAAACATTCAAACATTAATGAATGTTTCAGAAACAAAAAAATGAATGAAATGAAATGGAATTAAATGTGTGTATATTTGTTTTGGGAATCAATGATATCAAAAATATATTCTGTTTCCCTTGTGCAGTAAAAAACAATGGACGAACAAAAAAAAAAATTATGTCATTTTATTTGAGTTTGATATGATTTGCTGTCGAATGTGAGTGAGTGGGGGGAAGAATAACGTTTTCTTTTCACTTTGGCTTTGGTTTCTTAGATTGAAAAAGATTTGTGTAAAGTTGTTTTTGTTGTTGTTGTTGTTGTTGGAACCTTGGAAACCGCACAATTAAATATGATTAGAAAATTTTTGTTTTTTTCGCTGCTGTCCAATAGGATTTTTTCTTTCATTCAATTCTTATCTTTGTTCCTCATCATCATCATCATCATAGAATATTCTTATAATGAGCTTTTGTTTGGTTTAAAAATCTTGAAAATTTTGTCATTTATGTCCAACCGAAAAAAATAGCAGCAGCAAACAGCTTAAAAATAATAATCAAAATGAAAAAAAAAGATTTAAAAGTCAATATTTAAGATGATTATTATTATTATTATTTTGTGCTTAAAGAATTTCATATAAGAATATTTTGATGACAAACTTGATCGAATCTTTAATTCATATTTCGAAATTGTGTTGAACATGATTTTGTTTACTTGTTTCGAAAAGAAGTAATGTTTTTTTTTCCTGAATCATTCGCATTGTAAACATACACACACAAAAATAAAGAGAAAATGACTAATAAATTATCATCAAATCAAAGTGATTCTTCATCAACATCTAATTCTAAGATTAATCGTAAAAAAAATTTCGATTTAATTATGAAAATGAGAATGGATGATAGAAAATTACCATTATCAATAATTGATGATGATGTTAATAAAAATAAAGTCAATAAACATCAATCATTAATGATGATTACAGAAAGAACAAAATCAAAAGGATTGGAAAGAATTTTAAAATTTAATCAAAATTTATTTGGTGATCAAAAATTAATTACAAATAATAAATATTCAAATACATTAATAACATCAAATATTCAAAGTGATTCATCTCGTGTTACCTATCTAATCGTACATCATTTATTACGTTTAATCGTATTAATATTATGTATTATTGGTTGTATGGTACAGATAATATCGATTATAAATATTTTTTTCAGTTATCCAGCTATCGTATTTGTTGATATACATCAAATGGAACGGCTTACATTACCAGGCATAACTATTTGTAATAATAATAGGTTTGTGATTTCATTTCATTTCCCAAAAAAAATTTCCACATAATTAAGCAAGTTATTTTTTTTGTAAGCAAAATAGTAATTACTGTTTTTCATTTATATACAAATCATTTTGATTTCTTTGGAACTGACCATTATAATTGTCATTGAATGATTTTCGTTTCTTCTTCTTTATTTTGTTCAATGTAATTTTTCATATATTCAAAAAAAAAAGAATTATGCGATCCAAATTGAATGCATATGATGCAAAATTTGCTTATAAATGGAATCTTCTAATGAATCGTACCACTAATAATCATCAATTTAAATTGGTAAGTTTTAGTCGTTTCGTTTGTTTGTTTTCAATCACAATTAATTCTAACTAAAAATAGGAAAAAATTAATCTTTTTTTTCTCTCCTAAAGAGATGGGTTTTTTAACAATGAAAAAAAATTCAAAAAAAAACAAACATTGAAAAGATTGGAAGATTACGCAATTTATTACATTAATGATGATGATGTTTTTTTTCAAATGTATTTTTTTCTGTTTTTTTTGTGTATCCTTTTCCATTCACTACCAATTTATCATCAGTATCAACAACGATTAATCGATAATCTAATACGATCAATGTTAACAAATCTAACCGTTTCAGAATTCATGTCATTCGGTAGTACGGCTAATGATTTTTTAGATGTTGATTTTTTTCGTTGTGCATCGGATAAAAATCATCCAGATAAAAAATGTATGTAAGTATATGAAAAATGTTTTTTTTAAATTCTGATTGAAATAAATTATAGTGAAAAATATTATTGAGAAACAAAAAAAAACATATATCGATAGTTATGATTAAAATCCCCCCCAAAAAAAATGAACCAATAAAATATTCTTCAATTCGATGTTTCTTAAATTGAGATTTATCTATTCCTTCATATTTATCTTTATTTTTGTTGTTACAATCGCAAAGATATTTTTTTCCATAACAATTCTTTAATGGCTGATCATCAATGGATAGTCAATTTTATTTTTCAAATCAATTATTAATTTGACATGGGAAAACAACATTGATAATTTTAGTTTGTTTTTTTGTCTCAATCATTTCTGATTTTTATTTTTTCTATATGTTTTCTTTTATTGGAAACAAATTTTAAAATATAAAAAAAACAAAAAAATACAAATGGAAAGTTATTTATCAAATCTATTCACAACGGCACAAGAACATGGAAATTGTTTTACATTATTTCATAAATCGAATTCCACTGAATTGGAAATGATTGCAATCGAATCTGGTCTTTCTGAATCGGCTGTAGTTCGTGGCCTGAATAATGAATCTGTTGATATTGAAATGTCTATGAAACCATTTGCACCAAATGAAATCATTAGATTTCGTGTAAATTTTGCCGAAGATGAATATACAACATTGAATGAACCAATTTCTGGTCGTTTTATTATACATGATAATAGCCAAATTGCTGTTATAAGAGAAAAATCCTATCGAATACAACCAGGAAAATATTATATATTTTATCTAAGTAAATATACTGATCGTTTATTACCAGCACCATATGTAACCGATTGTCGTGATTATGATGTTTATAATAATAATAATAATAACGACAATAATAAAAATAATAATGATAAAAATGACAATTATATGATGGCTGATTCAAATAATGATTCTTTGAAAATGATTCAACAACAACAACAACAACAGAATAACCAACAGGAAAAAGAAACATTAGAATCAAATAATTTATTATTTCGTGAACCATCATCAAAAGCAAATTGTGTGATTGGTTGTATGGCAAGAAAAACAATTGAAACATGTAATTGTTGGCCACCGGAATTACCATTTTTATTCAATCCAGAATTGAATGCAAGCGAAAATCATTTAAAATGGTGTGATTGGCGTGAAAAACCACCAATTAAAAAATGGTTAGATCATAAATTACCAAATGAAACATGGTTTCAATATTGTTTCAATAAACATGAAGATGAATGTAATGGCCAATGTAAAGCTGATTGTCGTATTGATCGTTATCGTATTGTTAGTGAAGAAATTGAATGGCCATTCAAGGAAAGAATTGTATGTAAATATTACAAAACAAATAAACATTTTGTTATTTTGTTATTTTACATTGTTCCGAATTTCTTTTCTATTTGTTTTCAACCGGATCTTAATTTTCAGGAACATACCGATGATAATGATCTTCGACGTCTAAAATCATGTTGTGCTGTCATTTCAATACGATATTGGAGTGCTGAACAAAAAATTAATCAATATAAACCACGTTTTGAGGTTAGAAAATGTATACTTGAGAATTTTTCTCTATTTTCCAACACATTTTGTCAATTAATTTTTTGTTTAGATTGCCGAATTTACATCAAATATTGGCGGTCTATTATCAATGTGGCTCGGATTTTCATTATTTGGATTTTATAATTTGAATGAAAAATTTTTTGTTCGTCTTTGGCGTCATTGTATGAATGAACGACCACAACAACAACAACAAAATACAACAGAAATCGATAATGATAATGATAGAAAAGATTCAAATCAACGATCATTACCATACATTCGTAAAAGATCCAAACAATTTTCGGAAGAAAATCATGGCCATTCCAATGTTTCTTCGAATACAAACAACAATCAAAAACAAAATGAATCTAATAACATAAAAAAATCAACAATTCGTCGTATACCAATATCAAAACGACGAATATTTCAAAATATTATTCATAATAATAATAATCGTCAAGATGGTAGTGATGATAGTGATAATTCAATTAAACAATCAAACAATGTTTTGGATTAAAAATCGATGTTTTTTTTTGTTATTTTTTCATAATTTTTGGATAAAAATCTTATTTAAACTTAAAATATAAAAAGAATTATGAGTAATTTTTTTTTTGTTTTGAATTCTTAATATTAAAATAAATAATAATAATAATAATAAAAAGTAATGATTGATGATGATGGATGATGGTTGAAAGGATGTTTGAAACGGAAGAAAATCTTAATTTTTTTTTTATTTTTTTGGTTATTACCATAAAACACATTTCTTTTCCGGATTCATCGGTTTATTGATTGGACAATTAAATGTATGTGAAAATTGTTCAAAATTTGCCAATGATCCAAGTACACGAACTGATGGTGGACTATGTACACTGTTTTCAATTATATTAATCGCTGCATTTTGATCCATATTCGTGCACCACATCTAGAAAAGATTTAATTTCATTTCAGTATTTTATTTGTTCGGTTTTTTTTTGTTTTGATAAATTATAAAATAAAATACTTACATGTGCAAATGAAATAAAAAACAATTGATCAGGTGTATATTTAGACATTGCACCTGGTAAACGTTTATTATTTCCATTATGTTCATTTGTTTTGAATGCCTATTTGATAAGTAAGTATGCCGGTATGTGTGTCGTAAGCGGTAGTAATAGTGAAAGAGAAATAAAAATTAGATCAAAATTGTTATATTTACTTTTTTTTTTCATTTGCTCAAAGAATTTATAATGGATTTTCTTTTTATACACTCCCCTCCTCCCACTTATAAACTCAAATAAATTCTTTGTAACTACTGAATCGATCGATCGATCCTATTCGATTATTATCTCTCTTTCTCTCTCTGTAACTCACACACAATTTCATCCTGAAGAAAATAATTAATTTTTTTTCTTTTTGGTTCAACCTACACGATATGCTTCACGTAATCCACCATTGTCAGCAATATTTTCCGCCAATGTTTGTAGACCATTCACCTATTTATAGATAGGATTTTGTATTGTTTCGTTTTTTGTTTTGATCGGTAAATCATTTTCGGTGGAAAAAAAAGAAGTGAATTTTTAAGAAAAAAAATTGCAAAAATTAAAGAGAGGCTTCAGCATTTTATAATAACATCAACCAAATAATTTACCTTTGCCGAATTGATCGAAAAATTTGAATATTGATCAACAAAACAATCAGCTTTTTCGGCAAATAATTTTCTTGTCTGATTTGTCCACCAATTTCGTAATTCACCATGTTCATCATATAGTTGACCTTGATGATTTTGATTTAAAAATGAATTTTTTGTTTGTCAAAAAATGAAAAATTATTAAAAATAATTACCGCTATTATCGAATGCATGTGTCATTTCATGACCCAATATCATACCAATCGAACCGAATGTTATTGCACTAAAACAAAATTATTCATACCAAGATTATAATGATGATAATTTGGTTTTTTAACATTAAAAAAATAACTAACCTAGGTAAATCGGCCATATAAATATCATCCTGTATGATACCTGCAGGTAGATCTTTGTTTTTAAAAACAAAAATAAAACAATGAAATTATTTTTAAAAAAAAATTGAAATAAAACTATAGATTAAAAATTCACTTACAAACACCATTTGTTGTAAAATAATAGAATGCATTCACATCGGTTATCTGTAGCATTGGCCATCTATTAATTTTTTACAATTGTAATATATTAGAAATCCAATAAATTATCATTTTTTTAAAGATACATACATGGTTGAATGATCAGTTGAATTTGCTTTGACAATCATTTCATTATTCATTAATTCATTTGATTGATTTTGTCTAGTACGAAGTACATTAATCACTGATTGTATATAATTTGTTGAATTTATATCTTCATACTGAGATTGTGAAATATAGAATTTGATTAATTAATTTTGTAAAAAAAAAGAATGAGTGCATGGATGCACATCTCTTCATCTTCAACTTACCATTGAAAAATATTTTTCCATTAAAAATGTATCATTATTATACCAATCTGGATAGGCAATATTCATTGCCATTGAATCTAATTTTTTTACCGCTTCATTAATTGTACTTGTATCCATCCATTCACTTTGTTTAAGTAATTGTCGAAATGAATCACGTAACATTTGTGCCATTGAACCAATATTACCGCGTGAATTTTTATTAAAATAAAGATCAGTATAAAGTTTACCCAACAATTCGGGCAAATAATTTGATGTTTCCATAAAACAAATATTTGATAATACTTCGGGCGAATCTAATTTCGAAACTAATAATTCTAACATTTCAATTGTTGTATGACGACTCAATTGAAATGCAATATTTGTTGACATATAATTGGCTAAAACTCTAGATAAAAAATGATTAAATAGATAAAATGATTATCTTTCAAATTAAGATAAAACAAAAACAAAAAAAAACATCAATAAACTTACCGATTCGGTGTATCAAGTAACAATGGACTTAATTGTTTTAGAAATTCAATATCCAATACAAATAATACTTCATCATCGGTAAAATTACGACCAAAAATACCTTCAAGTATATAGGATATATCGAAATTGATATTTGATTTGATTGTCGATATATTTAATAAATGTTTTTCATAATTTTCCTGAAAATATACCATTGAATGTCTTTGGCTAGCATCATTTTGTAATTGAATTTGTAAATTAATCATTTTATTAATATCTGACATTAATTCATCATCATTCAATTGATCATTATTATTACTATGATTAGATTTCGTTCGATTTTTTCTTATTAGTTTTAACATTTTCATATATAATTGTTTTGTTTGTTCAAGTTGATCACCAACCAAAAGATTATTATCATTTTCATTTTTTCTTGATAATATTTTTGATTTTTTCATTAGATTAATTATATTTTCCGATGTTTTATATGGTGGTCCAAGCTTTAATTAAGAAAAAATTAATGATAAAAAAAATTATTTACTCAAAATTTTTAAAAATCCAAAATAAACTTACTTTGATAATAGTTTTACTTGTATTACGAAAATCAATAATAGGTTCAATACCTATTAAATATTGTTGACCTAATCGTGATAATTCTACATAAGCATTTTCCCAACGATAATGATTTGCCGATTTTCGATGTTCCCATTGATGACCATCCAACATTGGCCAACCACCTATATTATCGATAATCCGATAGATTGATTCATAACCATTTTTGTTTCGTTGTTCTGTAGTAATTTAATGGATTAATTTTTAAAATTTTCGAATGAAAACAAAACCTAATAATTTTACAAACTTTTATCATTGCATCCATTATAAAATTCATATAATTTTTCATAAATAATTGTTAAATTTGAATTGAATGTTGTTTTATTTTCAAGATGTTCTATTCAAATAAGAGAGAGAAAGAAAAAAAAATGGAAGTTTCATTAGAAAGATTTCAATCAAACAAGTAAACATACTTTTCAGATGATTCTTAATGGATAATGCAAATGATTGAAATTGATCCCAATGATTACCATATTTTGGTATAGGATGTTCTAATATCCATCGACCACAAGAAAATTGATAAAAATTATTACATGGATCAATTTCCTGATCGATTGACGAAAGAAATTGTCCACCTGATGATAAAAAAAAAATTAACAATGAATAATGATAATTGTGGAAAAACAAACAAGAATTATACTCACTTAAATAGATACATTGATTTGTTAGACAAATTGATGAATCATTATTATTATTTGATTGAATTTCATCATAATCATAATCATTATTGTTGTTGTTTAAAAATGTTTTTGTTTCCGTTTCAAAATCAACCGGTATACAAATGATAATCGAAATTAATGATAATAAAATTATAATCGAATAATTATCGATTATCGTATTAATGAATAATTTTTTCATTTTCATTAGAAATAAATTTGTCACTGCTTTTAAGTTTATAATGTTGTTGTTGTTGTTGTTTGTTGATAATATGATAATGATAATGAAAATGTCGAACTTATTAATCGTTTGTTATTTCTCGTTAATTTGAAAACATTAATTTGTTCCAACAATAATTAATGACAATGTTGATGATGATGATGATGATGGTGGTCGATTTCATTATTTCGGTATTTTTTCTTTGATTTTCATCTTTATTTTTTTCTAGAAAAATACTCCTTTTTTTCCATTAATGGTTAATAATCGGTGATGATAGCTGTTGCTACTGTATGAATGTATGATGGTTTTCGATAAGATAAGCATAATGGGAAAAAAGCAATTATTTTTTTGTCTTTTTTTTCAATACAATGCAATAATAGCAAATAATTACAAAGCAATTATGATTATAAAAACAGATTGAGAATGATAAATTTGTTTGAATCCAATCAATCGATTTTAATCAATCAATCAATCAAATGATGCATTTTGGTATTTAGTAGGTATTTAATAGAGAAAACAAAAAAAAAATACTTCAAACAAAACGGAAAAAGTTTTTTTTCTGGTTGTTGTTGTATCAATAATATACAAGTAAAGTGGTGGGATAAGACGTAACATGTGGTAAAATTCTCTCAAAAAAATGGCTATTGTCGTCATGTTACTTTGATTATAATCAAATTTGAAAGTCAGACCAGAAAATATTGATTTTCATCTATGGAAACATTTCATTTATTTTTCATTTTTTTAAAAAATTTCATAAATTTTATCTTTAATTTCATCTTTTATAAAGAAAATGTTGGAACAACAAAAGAAAATTTGCATTTTTTGGGGTGGAACATTAAAAAAATTACGGAAATTTTCTCTTGGAATTTTTTTACAGAAAATTTCTTCAAAAAAATTTCCATTTTTCCCCCGAGAAAAATAAGACCAAACAATTGAATAAACAAATGAACAAATTTTTTTGCTTGTTTCTTATCTAAATTCCCAAATATAAATATCATTTGATGTTAATTTTGAAGTCAATCGATCATCGACATCCAACAACATCGACATGGCCTTAAACTTGTTCAATGTTTTGGTATTGGCGCCAATTATATATTGAGACGATCGACAATAATGTTGTTATTGTTGTTGTTGATTTGATGATGATAATGATAAAAATGATTACAATTTTTTTTTACAAACAACAATCAAAAAAAGAAATACAGAAACCAAATCAATTTGTTGGATTGTATTTTGCTTTTTTTGTTTCTCTCATTCATTCCCATTGATTGTTGATATTTCTATCCAAAAAAATACATTGACAAAACAATAACAAAATTGTTTTATATTGATATATGGGATGTGCACCGCTGTTTTAAACATCAATCGATCATACTTTCATCAAAATCCAAAAAAATAAGAGATGAAAGAAAATTCTTTCATCGATTATTTGTATCCATTGTTGTCTTCTATTTAAAAGAAAATGGTAACATCCACATCACAGTATTTGAATAAATTCATCTCAACAACAAAAAGAAAGAATATTTCATCATAACCTTTTCGATAGATTTTGGAATTTGGTTTCAAAATAGAAAAAAAAATTCAAATGGGTTGGATGTCTGGGAGTGCGAAAAATAAAAATTTCTCATTTTTCAATTATTATAAATATTTTACAACATCCCATATACACACATACACACACACCATGTGACTATCTCGATGATTGATGATGATGGTAATGATGATGCAAGAATAACATGTATTCATTTTTGCTATTCAAGAAAAAAAAATCAAGAGATGTTTGTTTGTTTTTTTTTGTAAATGACAGCAAATGACATTGGATTTTCTATAGTCTTTGGCAATGTGTGTGTAATGAAATCGATCAATTATTCAGATCTTTTCATTGAATATTTATTGCCATGTTAATCGAAGAATCGATGTTGATTAACATCATAATAATCATCATCATAAAGAAAAAGTATTTTCACAGGAGTGCATATGAAAAAAAAAGTGATTTGATTGAGTATTATGGTTGTTGTTGTTGTCTCTATTTATTAAGAATGACATCATTAACAATACTTAAATACTTAATTATCATAATATACATAGGATCCGTGTAATTAGGATCGAAATAAATCCGGATACATTTGTTGTTGAACAATATTGCATTGTTTTTTTTGTTTTGTTTTGGATCGTTTAAGCTTTTTTATTTGGTGTGTTTATCATAATGTCTTAATCAACCGATTACTTAAATGATTCTAAATGTTCAAAAATTCGTCATTCATTCTCCAATGATCAAATCAAATCATTTGATTTAAATTGAACAAAAAAAAGAAAGAAACATTAATTGTTTTCCAAGAGATTTAACAACAACCGAAAAAAATAGAAGATTCTTTAAAGATCTTTTTGCACTATGAA